TATATTCCAAGTTATGTCAGTCTCTGATGATCAGGGCTCCACAGTCTATGTAATCTACTCGCCCGGGGCGAGTAGATTACATCCCGGAAGAGCCGGGTTCGGGCGATCTGTGCATGCACAGAATGATCTACGCATGTGCAGAATGCCAGACAGTGCAGCTGGCGAGTGGGGCTCACCGTGGCTCGGCGAGCCCTGCTGATGATGACCCAGCATATGTTGTTAGATTTAAGAACACTTTCATGACAGATTTTACAAAATGCAAAGAAAGTACCAATCGGAGGTTTCTAAAAATAGCTACAGCACTAGACCCCAGGTTTAACAATCTGAAGTGCCTTCCAAAATATGAGATGAACGAGGTGTGGAACATTTTGTCAGAAGTCTTAAAAGAGCAATCATCTGATGCAGAAACTAGAGAAACCGAACCACCAAAACAAACAAACAAACAAACAAACAAAAAAAATCAACCTTCTGTTGGTGGCATCTGATTCAGATGGCAAAAATAAACATGCTTCGATCTGCACTGTTTGGGATCATTATTGAGCAGAACCCATCATCATCCTAGACGGATGTCCTCTGGAATGGTGGTTGAAGCATGAATGGACATATGAATCTTTAACGCATCTGGCATCTTGCTATGCTGGGGGCTATAACAATGCCATGCGAATGCCTGTTTTCACTATTAGGTGACATTGTAAGCAAGAAGTGCGCAGCATTATCTCCTGCAAATGCAAACAAGCTTGTTTGTCTTAGTCATTGGCTGAAAAATAAGTAGGACTTGTGGGGTCTAAAGTTTTACATTGTTTCATTGTTAAGTGAAGTTATTCTTGTTTACATAATTCTACATTTGTAAGTTAAGCTTTAAGGGTGATGCTTACTGAGTAATCAGTTACGTGTTCACATCCCTATTGCAGATTAACGATGTTAAGAGGAAGGTGATTGACTAATCATGTAGTAAATAGAATTTTTATTTACTACCCAATTAGTTGAGAGGAGAAGGTGCTCAGTCCTGGCTTGTGCCAAGTCCAGGACCTACCCCTGCTGCAACTCTGCAGTTTAGTGTAGTAGGAGCCAGGCATGCATCTTGCTGACCCTTGGGGCTAAGAGGAAGAAGTGTCTTTTGTCAAGCCACCTGAACAACATCTTGGGAACTGAGGCCTGGGGGACTGTAGCTGGTCTATTGGATGTTATAGCAAAAATACTTATTTTTGAAAATAATCACTTATATATTTTATTGGTGTTTTTCGTTAAAAATCCTGTGTGAAGATAAGTGTGAGTGGGTTAAAGGGAACTACTCTCTTCTCTCAGTGAATGTTCAGCCACAGTTGAGATCAAAGGTGCTCAAGTTGAAGCTGTCTCAGTATAAATGAGAAGGAGCATTTTCACAATGCCTTTGTTTTGGAATTTGCTTCCCATCTTGATCCACCGGAGTCCAAATTTGTTAACATTGTGAGCATACTGCAAAACCTTCTTCTGTCTCTTCTGGTGTTAGGAATGTAGACTGCGGGGGATATTATATGGACAGTCCTTTCATTATATCTTTCTAGGAGGACCTTGAATTGCATTTTGGAAATTTCAATAAATAAATAATGGTGATAGAATAAATTATTATTTTAAAATAATTTAAGGGTTATTGCTTCATAATTTAGTTAATTGTGTTACAGGATACGCAGGGATGTGAATTTATCCTCTGTTTTAAACCGTGTCCAAGACATTTTACATCTACAAGTTGAACCTGTATTATATCCAGCACCCTTGGAACCTGACCAGTGCGGAACCACAGGAGGTCAATATTATCTATCAGCATTACAGGCAGTCCCTGAGTTATGTGGATCCGACTTATGTCGGACCCGCAGTTACGAACGGGGCTTTTCTCACCCCGGAGGACGCGAGCGGCGGGACGTCCAGATGCGCCGCGGTCCCGCCACCCGCGTCCTCCGGGGCGAGAAAAGCTGCTCCGCATCTCCCTGGTCTGCTGGGGGGAGTCCCCCCAGTAGACCAGGGAGACGCGGAGCAAAGCTGCGGAGCACGCGGGCAGTGGGACAGCCCAGACACGCCACGGCTGTCCGGCTGCTGGCGTCCTCCGAGGCTTTGCTCCCCATCTCCCTGGTCTGCTGGATACAGCAGACCAGGGAGACGGGGGGCCAAGACAGCCCCCGC